GCCCCTATTTGCAACCTAACCAATTAACCACTATTTGCAACCTAACCAATTAACCACTATTCGCAACCTAACCAATTAGCTCCTATTTGCACCAGTTAGCATTTTCTTTCACTTCGAAACGTCCGTCAACCAGAAAGTTTACCACGAAAAATGTATTTTAGCAAAGTCAACCAACTGATTCGAGTTCCAGACCATTCTTTATGCTGGAAGCAACCTAACCAATTCACTTCTATGTTCAAACCAGTCCGTCCACCAGAGAGTCTACCACGAAAAAAATATTTTTGCGAAGTCAGCAAACTGATTCGAGTCCGAGACCACTCGTCATGCTGGTAGCCTGGAACTGTTAAAAACTCTTATGCCCCGCCTTTACCATTGTATTATAGAAGCGTACGTGACATAATTAGATTTATTTGATATCGTGCATTGTCAAAAAAACAAATCTTTCACATACTTATTGGCCAAACATTTTATTCGTCATGGACAATCAATATCAATTCTAAACACGGCACTGATTGCTGATGTTGATTTATTTCAAGAATATTGTTCTTTGTGTCTTATCTAGTGGTGCTACAGTCTAACTTTAGAAACACAATTTATCCATCAACCATTAAAGGATTAATAGAATTCATTTATAGACACAGCACATGTAGCTGTACATCAACTTTTATATTATGGGCAATTATAGAGAATCAATTTCTCGTATTTTTTTTTTTTTTTTTTTTTTGTCTCTTCGATTAGTTGTCTGTATGTCGCCCTCCGGCACTCTCTGGCGACCGGCACCGCCGTATGTGAACGAGAATTTTTTCGGGCATTTCAGTTCTGCCCCCCTAACAATCATCGAGCCCGTACACCTATGTCAAAATTTCAACCACTCATGACCCCTTTCGATATTTAGAGTTCCAGGACCTTCTGTTACGGAACCCCACCCCCTCCCCCCCACACACTCCCACCTCCTTTCCAAAAGCCTCGTGATCGCGACGGAGCCGTATCGTAGCTATCTTTACCAATTTTTTTTATTTATTAATCTACCCAGTCTTAATTTTGATATATTTACAATACTATCTTGTATAAAAATAATATTTTATTACTTACACTCATTAACTTGCTAAAAAAATCAAATGAAAATATTACTAGTTAAACTCACGATCTCAGTGCAGTAGATGGTTAAAAAAAATTATGTTCACTCCCAGTTTGTGATATTTGTAGAGTATGGTAAATTAAACATAAAGAAATAGAATACTTATGCCTGGGACACACTATGCGAACTGTATTAACCAATAGCTCGGCCGAAGTCTTCGCCGCCGATGTTACTTGAGTAATATCACCGTTACACCGTAATGAAGGTTGAGTTCGAATTTCATGAAAATCGGACCAAAATTGCCAGACAAAATGGCTGCCACTTGTACGCGAATAGTGTAAATAAATATGGTATATCAAGGTTGTGGACCCTGTAGAGGTCACAATTTTAATTCGATTTTGATGAAAATTGAAATGCATGTTTATAACCTAAAGATCTTGGTTCCTTTCGATATTTGCGCATATCAGATCGTAACTTCTTGAATTATGGCCCTTGGCTGTACGAAAAATCGCCTTTATTAGCTTGTGGTCCCTGGAGGTCACAAAATGGCCGCCACTTGTACGCGAATAGTGTAAAAAATATGGTATATCAAGGTTGTGGACCCTGTAGAGGTCACAATTTTAATTCAATTTTGATGAAACTTGAAATGCATGTTTATAACCTAAAGATCTTGGTTCCTTTCGATATTTGCGCATATCAGATCGTAACTTCTTGAATTATGGCCCTTGGCTGTACGAAAAATCGCCTTTATTAGCTTGTGGTCCCTGGAGGTCACAATTATTACCCGATTTAAAAAAAACCGTTTGATTATATCACTGTAACAATGTAATGGGACACACTATGCGAACTGTATTAACCAATAGCTCGGCCGAAGTATTCGCCGCCGATGTTACTTGAGTAACGTAACAGACATACAAGGCGAGTGCCTGTGCCGATTCCCGGCGATCAGGTCGTTTGAAACTTAATTCACGCATGCGCCGGTGCGGTTTTAGCCACACAATATCGGTGTCTATAAATATGTAGACTTAATTCGCCGGGGAAGGGTTCGCCCGAATGATTCGCCTCAAAATTTCACATAGTGTGTCCTAGCCATTAGAAAGTCTGGTTATTTTTAACCATCGTCAATGAATTGACCACAGTGTTATAATTTAATCAGTATATTTACGTGTTATTGCGTCCGGACTGATTAGTTATTTATCTTCTCCAATCACTTCTAGACTAATTACCAATAATGATGCAGTTTGAGGTGTTTTAGTTTTGGCAACTATTCCTTTGCTTATAATAGAATACGGAATTAATATGAGTTTATTTATCGAGAGGCTCGATTATCTATCTAATTTAGGGGGGGGGGGGGGGGCGAATGCTTAGCTTTTAGAAGCCGGGCCATCCGATGACACAGAGGGTTGATTATGCCTAGGTAGATTTAGCTCTTACATAATGCACACTTTTTAAAGGTTTTTACTTTTTGGATCAAGATCGTGTCGATATGGCTGTGTGGATTTTTTGGGCTGTAAAATCATCAAGACTAGTTTGCACTGTAAGGGTACTATGTCTTTTTTTAACCTTAAAGCTTCTGAACTATTTTTTATCGCTTAAAGATGCATTATGTAAGAGCTAAATCTTTTTATTTTGGCTTCATATGTTATATAAATTACCATTTAGACATTTATTCACACGACAAGCCTATAATCAACTCTCTAGAGTATCGGATGGCACAGAAAATGGATTGAGATACGATAGCCATTTGATTTAATTTAAAAACTTAGAAACGGGACTGAGTCTCGATTAACATGTAACGTTTGCTAGGATAATATTCAGTCTATGTCAAAACTTCAATCAGTGATAATGTTGCTCAGAATAAAGCAATTTGAATGGAATTTTCAATATATTAATTTTGAATTATCTATTTTAGAACTATTATAGCAAGAATAAACAACCCTTTATCTAAATCTTACATAATGCATCTTTAATCCAAGTTAAATATACTCAAATTGATTATTTAAAATCTAATTAAGAAAACAAAATCAAAATATCTCCCGGCTTCCATTCTACTGCCAAGTGAATTTGGTGAAAATTATAAGTGGTGCTGGCTTGGTTTGACATTTCCCATTTATATTGTCTGTAGAGATGTCGAATTTTGAAAAATTTTCAATTAATGATATCTGTGTAAATACCGAACGGAATTTAACGATGGTTGGACTGAGCATCAAGATTTGACTTTTACAGCATTGTTGTTTACAGGGAATAAAAAATGGCCCATGATTAGGCTAGGAAAAAAATACCTGTGGTCCATCGGTCGGAAAATATTTTTATTATTTTTGTTCGTGAAGTTTGTATTATCTAATTCGTAGCATAATTACAGAGTAAGATTACTGAAAATAATACCGAAATTTTAGTTTTTGATATTCCTGCATGTTTTGGACAGACCGACTAAGATTCCTGAAAATAATACCGAAATTTTAATTTTCGACTTCTGATAACAATACCGCAATTTCAGTTTTGGAATTTGTCTACAGAAGACCCTGGGTTATAGTGTCGGCGATATCGCCTTAAAAATTAGGGTTGGTCGGGTAACCGTAAGTAAGCACAGGAAATGTGTTTATAAGGGGTTTTTTTTTGGGGGGGGGGGGGGCGCTCAGTTAGAGACTTTAATATAAAAAGTCTAAAAATATGACGTACAATACATGGTTCATTACATTCTTTAATAAAAATGTGTTTATTTGGAGGGGGGGGGGCGCTTAGTTAGAGACTTTAATATGAAAAGTCTAAAAATATGATGTACAATACATGATTTATTACATTCTTTGATAAAAAGAAATGCCAGGAACTCGTTGTCGCGTGAAGTGAACCATACCATGAATATTATTATATAATATTTTATTTAATTATCTAATTTACCAAGGGAATGGAATAATTTGATTTTTATCAGATCAAGAATGATAATTACAAATATTATCAGGTCTGGTAGCTGGGAGTGTTTCCTCATGCTTTTATACTTTCACTCTAAAAAAGATTGTATGTAAACATGCTGAGTTTGTTATGAAATGAAATGAAGTTGTGTTTAACGTCTTATACTTATCTGCACAGACTAGTAAGGTGTACCTACTTTTATATATCGAATTCCAACTGTCAATGGTTCTTTTACGTGCACGCCAATGTGTACATTGGACCTAGGTTTTTCGCCTATCCGAAAAACTAGACACCCACACCTAGAGAGCGATTAACGCCGACTCGACACAAACTAGATAATTTCGAGATTTACATAATATACATTATACGGTTTAATTTTATTTCAATAATTCGCTTGTGCGTAGGAGTATTTTAGCAGTGGAAGGAAAACGGAGGAACCGGAAAAAACCCACGAGGCTGGTCAGACGACTCTACTGCTTGTCCCGCACAAGTTGGGATAGAAACCGCGCCAGTTGACTTACTGATCTAATGGGGATTTAGAAGTAAACCAAGAATATTCTAGTTTTCTGACGACGAATTATTACCCTCCAAGGTCATTGTGAACAATAGATCTACATTAGTATACGCAAAGAGATGAATTATTTGATATGAAAACTTAAAAGCGTAGACCTAATGCCCACAAATACGATAATTTCCGGTTTAGAACTAAATGCATTGCAGTCTCTGTTTTTCATCTAAAATATGCATCATCATAAAAAATAGAACAAAAAAAAAAAAACTGTATAAAAATCATTGAAGCTCCAGGCATGCATTAGAAGGTCTGGCTCGAACGTTCTAATGATGGAAATTTTGAATCCGTTCCAAAATAAATCTATAAGATTTTGCAAATAATCGTAATAATTTTCTTTCCAGAAACACATTAGCTGCTGGGAAAATCAAGCTTTCAATTGAATGATTACTGATTTTAATTTGTCGGTGGAACATACTTCATTATTTCTATGGTATTTTTCAGGATGTAAGACCACGGCGGATTTGATGTATGCTGGTGTTATGGCTCTAGGATGTAAACCATATAGAGAATCCCAAAAAGAAGCATGTCTGTGTCCCAAATCTAAAAACAAGACTGAATTATAGAATATATTAAAACAGCTAGTATGTTCCTTGATACGAGTCTGTAATAAGGTTCCTCCATTTCTCAGTAACCTGTCTTTCTCCATTATTTTATGGAAAATGTTGCTGACTATTTATTTTATTTCATTCCATAAATATAAATTTCTTTATATGTTTTTAAGATAATTGATTTTTGTTATTTTTTGGCATTCTTCCCGCAGCTTTGTTGTTAAAGATAAAACTGGGACTTTTGTTTTAATCTGTTCGGTACCGGTGTAAAAACTCTCAGAAAACATCCCAAAACGAAACAAATCCGTCTAGCATATTAATATGTCCATATTTTCCAAATTGTTTTATCGGTTATTATCGCCTTTGTCTTTCTGAAAAAAACCCACCAAGACCCAGCCTTGTTGCGTTGAACGGGTTGTTGAATTGTGTAAGAGATAAATCTGTATGCCTATTGCAGGTCATTCTTTTGGCCTCAAATGTTATTTAATTTATAAATTAGACATTTATTCACATGACAAGTACATAATCCACTTTCTAGACCATATGATGAACCTGGTTTTAATAGAATGAAACACCAACGCCATTTAATAATTGAATTTAAAAGTGGATAATCGAGACTTTGTTTATTATCGTAACAATGGTAGAAATGAAAATTGAGACTACGAATCATACTTTCGCTCAAAATAAAGTAATTTAACTGAAATTTTCAATATAATATTCCTTTTTCATTATCTATTTTTATACACCCGTCCGTCCGTCCATCCACAATTTGATTTTGCTTGTAGACACTACACAGGTTACAATATTTATCCGATTTTGACGAAACTTGAAATATAGGTTTATATCCCAAAGATCTCGGTTCCTTTCGATATAGCATGTATCGGATCATAATTTCATGGATTATGGCCCCTGATTGTACGAAAAATCATGTTTATAGCATGTGGACACTCTAGGGGTCACAATTTTTATCAGATTTTGATAAAACTTAAAATGTATTTTTATAACCCAAAGATCCCGGTTTCTTTCGATATTCGCGCACATTGGACCATAACTTCTTAGATTATGACCCCTGGTTGTACGAAAAATCGCTTTTTTAGCTTGTAGACCCTCTAGTGGTAACAGTTACAACATAATAGAGGTTGAGTTAGAATTTCGGGAAAATTGATAAGAAACTGCACGACAAAATGGCCCCCGTGTGTACGCAAATTGTGCACAAGTATGTAATACGAAGGTCGTGGAATCTCTAGAGGTCACAATTTTTGTCCGATTTTGATGAAACTTAAAATATATCTTTATACCACAAAGATCTCAGTCCCTTTCGATATTGTCACATTTCAGACCAGAACTTCTGGGATTATGGCCCCTGATTGTACGAAAAATCTGGTTCTCTATTCTTCTCTATTAAACTATTATAGCCAGAACTGTCTGTCAGCATTTTATCGAAATCTTACATAATGCATCGTTAATAATTCTTTTCTTCTTACGTCTCTGATAAATATATAGTCTGAAGGCTCAGTTCAGGAGGCTCGGTGCAGGAGGCGGGTGGGGATGGGGTCCATCTAATGGCAAAACACCAGACCTAACTTGTCTAGCGTAATTGTTTACGTAGAAAATGATGCCGAGTGACATCGATATAATTCAAGTCGAGGGTCAAATGGGGCCACTGACCTATGGTTCCTTCTGGTATCATGAAAACATAATAAAAAATGATCGAAATTAATCACTCTTTAAATAAAAATGTAAACTGTCAGCAACAGAACAACCAGTCGGTCGTTTTGTTTCAATTGAATGGTTAGTTTTATTATTATCTACATTATGATTCCTATTTTGATGTTTTAGATTATCTATCAATGATGTGTTCATTTAAAATAGCAATTCAAACCATTCGTTTGACATTGACAATCATGACTGAATTCCCTGACACCAGAGAATTTTGCATTCCAGATGAATTTTAAACCATCTACTTGAATGTGTTTCTGGTGGTTGAGACGTTTCACATATATATTTATTTGCTAAAAGTATAATGGAATCGGCGGTGTCCTTGTAGATGTGGGGCTTGAAAATGAAATTAGCAAATGAGACGACTGCAACTTTATCGTATGAAAACTTTATCGTAAAATGCAGACTTTTTACGTAATCGAAATAACATGAATATCAACACAATTCAACACTTTATTTTAACTTCAGTCAAAGGGTTCGTGCTCCTTCAAGATAATTTGTTGTCTTCTGAAAATATCATTTCCAGAAAATTGACTGGACCAGAAAATGAACTAGAATCACCACCCCTGTATGAAATGAAATGAGGTTCAACGTCCTATTTGTCAGCTCTGACTTGGCTAATGAAGACAGGCATACACCATGCAGTGTGCTATGAAGGCCATTTTTGCGCAGACAACGGCACTACCAAATTCCAAGTGTCAAGGGTTCTTTTACGTGCACACCAACGTGAAGTGTACAAGGGACCTTGGTTTTTCGTCCTATCCGCCCCGCACAACTGACAGACGGAAATCACGCCGGAAATTCTGAGCCACCACGGTTCCTATATATAAATAAGTAATATCCAATACCCCATAAATGTATTGACCACTATACCAGGGTAGACTACCGGTCTCTATATTCTATATTATTCAAAATCAATCTTACAAGATAAAACTATATTTAGTAACAAATTACAATTTTTATCTTCCATTAACAAATAAATAGATGTTTTATGAATTCCAAGATTATTAGATAGACCATAAAGTTATAAGATGCCAAATTCAAATAAAGCCAACCCTAGGGCGTTTTTAGGAGTTTCGACAGCGAGGGGTACAGGGCAGAGAGATTTATAAAATCAGAAGCTCTGAGACATTATCTGACTTCTAGGGTCATTCATTTACAATTTCCAACCCCATGCACTATCTAATTCCGATATATAATAATGTAATGTGAATGTATATAAACTGATTTACATCCAATCCTTTCTGTTTTACTGTAATTTCTAATCAGTTATGTTGGGTGAAACACGCCAGAAGTTTCAATGGCAATCTCTAGCCTCTAGTTATTCCAGTCTACACCGATGGTATTTATTGCGCATGTTGATTTAATTAACAAATAATTCGTGTTTGCAATGTCGAAGACATTGGATGTTATTGAGTTAGCTACCTTAACAAAAGAGAAATACGTCTACCTGTATTGGATTTTGAGTGAGACGTTTTTTCAATGAACATAATATATGAGAGAACAAGCGGGAGCAGTGGAGTGTCCGGACCCCTCCCCACCCCCAACACACATGCACACGCGCCTGTAATCATACAATCAAATCAGCCTGATATAACTGTGGAGAATTGATCCATCTCAACTTCTATAATTTGTGACTTGTGATTTTCATATTGGAACTATTATTACGTGGGAGTAAAATGGTTTTTGTATGAATATTTTTTTATTATATGTTTATAGATCCCCAACTGTGACTGAAGATGAAAGTTATTGACAGTGATTAATGACACCATATTAAATAAATCATGTTTGTTGAAGGCAAGCTATTACTCTGGGGAAACACTACAGAACTTCCCTGTGTATTTTAACAGACGGGAGACTAAAAATAATTACAATGATGAATGAGTTTTTTAATTCCACATGATAGAAATCTAATAGAGGAAAATTTAATTTTACTCTCTGTTCATTCACTTATAACTTAAAACCCCGTGTACAATATTTAATTCAGAAAAATGTATTAACAAAAAAGAAACCTACTTATATTTAATGGCTTATTAATCAAATCAGTTACAGTATCCTAAGACCGCATCTAATTAATTGCCCCATAAATAATATACTAATGCATACATACATACCGTGGAAATATTCGTAAGCTGAAGATGAAGGATGTTAGATTTAAAACAATAATTTTGAACAACAAAAATATCTTACCGTATTTAATTATTTGCTCCATAAATATAATATATATTAATGCGTGAACTTGCTTCATTAAATTCTTTAAACATGCATTATGCAAGAGCTAAATCTTCCTATTGTCTTTCTGTTAGCCTGAAATGTTACCTAAATTATTAATTGCACATTAACTTATCCAGACCATAATCAACTCTCGAAGCCATCGTTAGCCTGCGATATTTACTGGGTTTGAATACATTTTGCGATGGATAATTTAACGTAAAAATGGATAATCAAGACTTTGTTTGTTATCATGCCAATGTCAGAAATGACGACCAAGATTAGTCTAAAATTCAATAGCAAATATTTCGGTTCGGAGTGAAGCAATTTGACTGAAATTCTCAGCATATTTTGTTTTCATTTTCTATTTTTTTAAAACTATTATAGCGAGAACTGTCAGCTCGTTATCTAATCTTACCTAACGCCCCTTTAAATGTAATATTATTAGCTCAATACTCTATATAAAATACACTACAATGTATTTATATAAAATGAAATGGGGTTTAGCACCCTACTTTTCTGCACCCACGGATCTAACGAAGACGGGCATAATACACTATGAACTGCCAATGGTTATTGTTCGTCCCGCCTGAATGTTCTGTACTATTGACAAGGGGAGAACCACGATGAAAAAATCCCAAGAAAATTTTTATATAAATACAGGCTTCATTAAATACTTGCTTCATTAAATACTTGGCAATTATTAGCCCTAGTTTCGTTAGATTATCTATAACTTATCCTTAAAAAATATTATGTGCTAAATGTCTTACATTTTCTCTTCCAAACTTAACATGTTTGTACCCCCTTGCACGAGTCGTCGGTAGGGTGATGGGTCATTAGTGAGCCCAAATGGTCTCACAGTCAACACCGTCTTTGGTATATCTTCATCCTCTATACCGACGCAAACAATCCGGATGTATATATGGCAAAGTATTTGACACAGGAAGTAAAATGTAAAGTATTTAATGAAGCAACTGCTTACGCCAGTAAATTGTAATGTATTGACACAAACTGACTCGTGTTACAAAGAGTATCGATATATTTCAATGATTTAAATTCTGTTATGCAAAATATCTTACATATATTAAGTAGCTACAAAGCCATGACACAAATAAAAGTACAGAGAATATTATTTAATAGCGAACAATGCAAAATATACTCATCGACCCAGGTATCGATGCAAGTGCAGTTTAAAGTATTTGATGACTCAAGTAGTGTAAAGTAGTTAATGATTCAATGATTCAAAG